GATTTAAATATCCCCTGCGGATTTAAATAAACATGTCCGCCGCTTTTTTTCCGGCTTGGGGAAAAGCCGGAAAAAAGCGTCTAGACTGGTGCGATCCTCTGGAATAAAGCCCTTTTCCGGAGGATCTCTTATTCCTACTTGAAAGTAGGAATAAGTTGAAAGTAGGAATAAGAGATCCTCCGGAAAAGGGCTTTATTCCGGAGGATCGCGCCAGTCTAGACGCTTTTTTCTGGCTTTTCCCCAAGCCGGAAAAAAAGCGGCAGACATGTTTATTTAAATCCGCGGGGGATATTTAAATCCCCCGCGGATTTCCCTATTCTGACTTACCTGCTTTGCATGACTATTCCATTTTATGGGGCCAGTGTAGATGTAGCCACAGTGTGAAATTAACTCCAGTGAGAGTTTTGCATTTCTTCAGTGTGACGAGGATTTCACTCTCAGTCTCTGTTATCTGTTAGAACACAAGAGGCATGGAATGGGTTTCGCGCATTCTAAGCTTTGATGCAATCTTATATATTGTTATTGCTGCTCCTAATTGTGCTTTCTCTGATACCCTCTGCTCCATACTCTCTATTTCTCAGAGGAGAAACCTCCTTTTCATTGTGGGTTGTTCTTAAAATTCTGTGCCATGTCAGCATTCTCTCTATTTTTCACCCATTTTGTTCTGGCAGAAACAATCTTTCCAGTGACATAAAAATTAATATAGATAGCCTTATTAACACAAGGAAATGTTTTGCATTTGCCTCAGTTACAGGAAAGACATGCATTGTAAGACTCTCCGCAGTCCCATGCCCTTATAGAAGGGTTCTACCAGATTTCAGGCAGATAATACCAAAAATTTCTCTAAAAATGTAATAGAGTCCTCTAGGACACAAAGTAAACATCAGTAAGATTTAATAGCAAATTATTTGTGTTCTGTAGGTTGTTTGAACCATTTCATAGAATGCTTAAGTACGGTTATAATTCCCTACTGTATTCTTTAGAATGTTTCAGGGCGTCTATAGAATTGTTGACCAAGGCATGGTGCCTGACATTAGGAGCCTAACTACATACTTAAATAAGAGGCCAGATTTAGTGCTGAGCATTATCCCTGTAAGCTGTTTACTTGTGTGGCTGGTCAGGAGAGATTCCAATGCTGCCCAGCTGATTAGCGGAGCACCCCCAGCTACATTTTTTGTCTCTATTGGTGGTGCACATTTGCACATGGCTCGGTGAACATAAAAATGTTTTCCGCATCTGGATGGAATACACCTACATCAGAGAGAACTGCTGGATACTGTGCATCTGGAAAGAGCAGCCCAATTAATTGTGAGGCTGTCAAAACAACTCTGCAAGATAGAGTTTATTTTCAGGTATTCATTGAAGTTAAAAGTGTTCTGGCCAGCTAAAGGCCTGAGTATCTCAGCAGTAAGAAGAGGACATGATATAAGGTAACAAATGATAGTGAGTTAAGGATGTAAGGATAAAAGAATTTTGAATACCTCTCAGTTGGAAGAGAAAGGACCGCCAAATGGTTAAGGCAGCAGTCTAGGGTTCAAGAAAACTTGGGGTTTTTCCCCCCTTGATTATGGTAAATGTTTCCTTTGTGACCACTTAATCTCTGTGATTCTGACTCCCCTTAGTAAAATGATAATAAAAATACCACCTCTGTCTGTTTTGTCTACTTAGCTGTAAGTGCTTGTCCTCACAAAAAGCCCTTTATGATGCAATTGTACAATGTACAAACCCTCTAGCCATGACTGTAATACAAATAGCAATAATATTAAAGTTGCATATATTGATGACAGGTTAGAGGGATATTTTTTTCATACTGACTGAAAATTTATGGGGAAAAATCAAGACAGTATTTCTCAAGAATGTCCATTTTAACTCACCATCTCACCCATCCTCCTCCACCCCCAGATCTACACTTATCACATATGATGGATTTTTCCTAGTCTTGATTTCCTCTGAGTAGCTCACACAACATTGCTTTGTTCCATGTGTGCAAGGTAGGAGCAGTTTGTTGTGGCACTGTGTCCCAAGTGGGATACTTTCACCTTACCCCTAAGAAGACCCTTTTACTAAATGAGCCACTCTCTGCCGAGGGGGATCAGTATTCTTTTAAATTAATCAATGTGAACGTGATGAGATTTTTAGGCTTCCGGACCATATTACAGTTAAGGTCCATATTCATGAGGAGCTTGATAAGCAGAAAATTCCCCACTCCTAGCTTTTCTTTACCTATGCCTACCCCATTTTCACTCATGTTCTATTCAAGGGCAAAGTGAGTGTTGACTCGCTTAGTTATCAGCCACATTGTATGCAAAGTGCATTGAGCCAGTGCATGTTGTGGACATCCTTAAGAAGGTTTGCACTTACTTCCTGCATGCACCTCATTTGCTGGAGCTGGAACCTTGGTTTTTGACATTTCCAGCAGCAGCCTTCTGTGGTTGACCCTTGCTGAATGTAACAAGTATCTTTTTGTTTCAGCGGCATCTCACCCAATCTCACACTTGTATGAAATTATTGTTGACGAGGTGAGACCCTTTGTTGAGGAGCTGACTGCTGCTGAGGAACATAATTCTAAATGAAAATGACAGCACTTCAACGAGACCTAATGTAAATTCTTTGACAGAATATAGATTCACGGAGAAATAATTCTTGCAGCTGCCATAAAACATCACTTTTTCAAATGTCAGTGCCATACAGTATCATCATAAATACAGCAATGCCTGGCACCATCTATTGGCTAAGATGTTGAACTGAAAATATTTTGATGATCTCCATCTCCCCAAAGAAGGGATGCTGGGACAAGGTAACTAATGCTCTTTGTTCGAATATGGGATAGTAGCATTAAATCACAGCCTGTTATCAGGGTAGTGCTGCGCCCTTAAGAATGGCCCCATCACTTCCCACTTGCATTAGTGGGAGAGCAATCTTAAACACCCCTTCAAGTCGTAAAAGCATGTTCCTCCATCTGGGCCTGTACTGCTAACTTATGTGGGGGCAATAGAGCCATGACTCCATCTGCTCTCCACACCTTCTTGTTGAGCTAATTGTTCCAGGATGGAGAACAACCTGGCAGCAGCCCACACATTCCATCAGAGGATTAGATTTAGAAGGTGGATTGTACAAGGACTTATGCACCCAAAGAGGATATATACTGAATAGATATGTCAATATGTGTAATATTACCGAGTGAAGGGTGAATTTAAATATAATATAGATTTATGTAATCACAGTAAGTATCTACTTTAAGTCTGATGGTAAAGCCACCAAAGTCAATGGAAGAACCCAACTGACTGTACTAAGTTTTGGTTTATGTAGTGTTTGCAGAATTGAGTTCTTAAGGAAAGATGCTTCCTAAAAACTCCTGTGTTTTATGACATGACTGTCTCTTCCCACTGAAACACAACAGGAGTGGTACACTTCATATAGTAATTTTAGACACTGCCCCCTGCTTTTTGGACTTTGTTTGCTTGACTTGTATAGAATATATAGCTAACCCGTATGCTATTCTGTGAAAACATAGTAGGTTACAAGTCTCAGAGAGGTGACTGTGTTAGTCTGTATCTGCAAAAACAATGAGGAGTAGTGTAGCACCTTAAAGACTAATGGATTTATTTGGGCATAAGCTTTTGTGGGTAAAAAACACTGTCAGATGAGCACTGCAACATAGAAACAATTATACTGGGTCCAATCCTCCAACTGAAAACAATAGGAATTCTGAAATTTACTTCAATGAGAATAACTTTGTGAGTTTTTGCTTCTGAGTTTCTCCTGAGCCTATGATGCTATCCTATAGGATAACATTACTGCTTCTGAAATAATCCCAGTACCTTTTTTGCTCTAACAAGCTTTGCCTGGATTATTTTTCCCCATACTCACATTCTACTTTTACTGGTTTTCAATATTTTCTCCCCTTCCCTTCATTCCCTCCCCCAAGAAAAAATATAGGCCCAGAGCCTCAACTGATATAAATCCATTAAAGCCAATGAAACTACAGTTTCGGATTTACATATCTGATGAGGATTTGGCCCATTATATTTTATTTCTAACATTACTTTAATCTGAGTACATGATATTCATCTCTTCTGCTTTGAAAAGTGATGATTTTGTCAAATACAGGCAGTCCCCGGGTTATGTGCAAGATAGGGACTGTAGGTTTGTTCTTAAGTTGAATTTGTATGTAAGTCGGAACTGGTACATATTGTAGGGGAAACTCTAGCCAAACATTTTTTTTAGTTTTGGATAGCATAGGGAAAGGTTAACTCCCCTCTAATGTTTGTTTTGCTGTCTGTTCCCCTGTTCAGAAGATTTCACATCTATTTCTGTCCCTGTGACAAACTCAGGACTAAAAGAGTAACTCATCAAATACCAAACAGCTCTGCACCATGCTTTGAGCTAATAGCTTTATTTCCACACACCACCCAGGGTTCTAGGAGGAGGGTCCTTTTTTTGCTAACACAATGAGGCCAGCACTTTGTTTGTTTTGGTGGAGTCTTTGTTTGCCCAGGGAGCCCAGCATGTATAGGGGGAGGAGGGGCGGAGAGGCTGCTTTTGTCTGCTGTTCGCCAGCCTGTTGCTCAGGGGAGGGGGCAGCCTGTTGCTGGCAGGGGGGGAAGGGGGAGGCGTGCAGGATGCGAGGCCACGGGGGGGGGGCAGAGGGCTTGGGGAGGCACTTTTCCTCTGCCCGGCAGCTCTGCAGGATCCCTGGCCCCGC